GGGAGGCTGAGGCAGGAGGATCGCTTGAGCCCAGGAGTTTGAGGTTGCTGTGAGCCAGGCTGACGCCACGGCACTCTAGCCCAGGCAACACAGTGAGATTCTGTCTCAAAAAAAAGAAAAAAAAAAGAAAATCAATTTGTCTAAAATCCTACAAAATTCTTCCATTTCTAGCCTCATTTCTGGTAAAGGATTAATAGGACAGCTCAATGTGCATTCTTGACTTTTGAGTTTTTTTATTCCTTCCCAGAGCGTAAGAATTGGCTATAACTGAAAGACCTGGGCTAAGGGAATCTTTATTTTATCCTAGTAATGAGTGTTAGCCCACTTTGCAAACAACCTACTAGGATTTCAAGCCATTCTTCCCCCAATGCTGGAAATGTTCACATTCTCGTTGTACTATCTTGTGGCTTTTCTCAGTTGTCGCATTGAATTTATCTTTCTGAAAATAAGAATAATCACAGTTACGAACACTTTATCTAAAATTTAATCATAAGCTGTAAGTCAACTTGTTGAATATTTTATTATATAGTATTTTCAAGCTCTCATTATTATACATTACTCTCTAAATTGAGGGCACTTTTTATATGTGAGTGCAAAAATTTGAATTTTTCGGTTATAAATAGATACTTTTTTGCTAAATTTGAAAGTCCAAATTTTTCATTATCATTTTGTACATTTTTTAGAGCCTTCCAATTTACAAAGTAGAAGTTAAATCTTATGTTGACAATGATCACATTCAATTCTCACTTTGAAGTGACCAGAGCAGTGGTTATCTGCATTTTTAAGTAAAGAAAACTGGTCTTGTGAAATTGACTTGCCCAGAATGACCCAGCTAGTAGGTATTACTACAGAACATTTTTAATAATGTTCATCTTTATTCTCTTTTTCATTATTTAGATTTGGAAATTAAAACCTCCAATAGTTGTCTTCAAATATTTGATGGACATTTTCTCATGGCATAAGATTGGACATCTACTAAGTGGGCACTACACAGAGTGCTAAACACCAGTGGATGGATGCCGTGGTACAAATTGTGTCTCATGTAAAAAGAGAATTTTATAGCACTATGATTCATTTAAAGTTCGGGAACAGACCAACTCATTAGGAACAGTGACAGAGCAAGAATGAAATTCATGTCTTCTCACTCCATTGCTCAAATCAGAATAAAGTGGCTTTTATGGCAAGTGGATGAAAATTTAAAAATAAAGCAAAAGTGGTGCATATCAAA